TGTTTCTATCTCTTATAGTTTCGACGATATTCACGTCGGAAGAAAAACCGATTTTTTCAAGGGATGGTTTCATCCCTTCAAAACGGAATTGAGCACCAACGAAAAACAGTTGCATGCTACGGATGAACTGTTCTACTTTTACACCAAGAGTCAGATTTTTCTGAATTTTCGGGTTCGCAAACTTCCCTTGTTAGAAGCATTTGCTAAACAATTAAAATTCATGAAATAATAAAATTGTTATCTATATTCATGTATGTGATAGAAGACGGATTAAATAATAATGTAAAATGCAATGAATAAAATGCATATTTTCGAAGCAAAATTGAGAAATAATATAGTAATTATTTATTATAATTTGCATCACTGCAGGATATTTGATTATCGCTTCATTAACTTTTTTAAAAGCTTACAAATGGATAAAATTTACAGATAAAAATTATTTTGGTAGCTTGCCGGATAGAGGAACAATTAAAGCGCTATTATTAATTATAATGTTTCTGTAACATAAAAAGACTAATTTAACTTTGGTAGAAAATTAATACGTTCAAAGCACATTAATGTGTCATGCTAATCAATATTACAATCGCTGGCGTTCTATTCTACGTTGCAACAAATGTTCGCGATAATTCCTTTTACGCAATGCATTTTAATTATATATTATGTAAATTAACTGTTTGCTTTTAAAGTGTCGAAACTGCGGGGTAAAATAAAAGGGAGGAAATTTGTATAAAGATTTAAAGAATTTTTTTCTCAACGAAAAATTATCCATTTTTTTGTTTGTGAAAATCTGTGTGTGCACTCGAATAGATTAAAAGATAAGTTAAATGGAAATCGTCTATTTTAAATGGAATATGAAAATTGGAAATGAAATTGAAATTATCTCATTTCGATGATCAAAGTACATTTGTAAAGAATAAATTGACAATAAGATTGAAAATACACATTTTTTTACATACTAGCATTACAGACACGCGCGCTATTTAACTGCACTTTTTACTTTTTACTATTAATTTACTATAATTATACATAAACCTCAATACATATAATAACTGTCAAAAGTCAATGCAATGACAGCCGCTCACGAAGTTAGCGCAGCGAGAGAACCAATCAGCGTCGCGGAAAAGAAGCAACAAAAACTTCGAGACTTTCGAGAAGTTTCGATGTATTTGACTATCGATTTAACATGTCTTTTTTTAGATGGGAAAAAAATAAGCAAAATACAAACAAAACAAAATGTGATTAACCGAACTGCGAATATTTAAATTAAATAAAAATGCGCAGAACTATCTAAACTAACTATTCTATAACGAATTAAGATTTTTAGAAGTAATAATATCGTAGATAGCACAAAGTTTAAAATTGACGCATAGGACGTCTTTAAAACGTCTTTTAGATGTCTTTTAGACGCTGTTGCAAGAACTATCTAAAGAATATCTAAAAAACGTCTTATACATTGATTATAGACTTTGTGTTGTCTGGAATATAAGATATTTTTGTAAGAATGTAGGATATTTTTAACACGTTCAAATGTAAATATACTTTATACGTGGAATGTACGTTTTTAAAACATTCATATTAAGTCCATGGACGTTTGTACTAAATAAAAATGAAATTTGGACGTCCAATGGACATCGTGTGTCTGGGATCGTTGCAGGTGATGACCAAGTAATAGATGCCGAGAAGCAAAAGAAGACTAAAGGAATAATTCTTCTTAGCATCGATGAGTCACTGTATGTACATGTAGAAAATGCCACAAATGCAGCAGAAATGTGGGCAACGCTTGAGAATTTATTTCGAAATACGGGTGCCACACATAAAATTGGATTAATTCGAAAGTTAATCAATGTTCGTCTGGAAAATTGTGAGTCAATGCCCGATTACGTAAGTCAAATTACAGGCGCTGCCAATAAATTAAATAACTTTGGTCTCAATATCGGCGACGAACTGATAGGTGCGATTATGCTGGCGGGTCTCACAGAAGAATTCAAGCCATTGGCGATGGGCTTTAAAGGTAGTGGAATAAAGACAACGTCTGACGCAGTTCAAACAAAATTCATGGATAACGCATATTAAAAAGAAACACGTAGTGCCTTTTTTGGTAAAAGCGATCTAAAGGGAAAGAAGCCTAAGTACACCGATGGTAAAGTTCTTAAATGTTACAACCTTTACGAAAAAATATGATTGGGAGCTAATGGTAACTATTGACACTCAATCATAACTATTGATTGACAAATAGTAACTATTGGGTCACCAATAGTAATGATTGGGTTGTCAAAGGTAACCATCGACGCTAAAAGAGTACGGTTGGAAGGACCAATGATTACTGTTGAAACTCAATAGTAACGATTGACAAACGGATGTAACCATTAGGTTATGAATAGTAACGATTGAAGAGACCAAGGGTTACGATTCGAACTTAGTTAAAATTTGTGATTCAATAGTAACGATTGACAAACGGATGTAACCATTAGGTTATGAATAGTAACGATTGAAGAGACCCAGGATTACGATTTGAACTTATTAGTCAAAATTTGTGACTCAATAGTAACGATTGACGAAAGAATGTAACCATTGGCTTATAAACAGTAATGATTGGAGAGACATATCAATGGTTACGATTCAAAATTATTGTTAAACAAAATTGCAGACTAATTATATGTCGTAAATGCTTACTTTCTACATATTTTTTGAAAATAAAAAGAAACGTTTTAAAAAACATTATTTTCCACTTTTTGCGTATTAAAAAAGTTTGTATACTTATTTTGTAAAAGACAATATATACGTATTATTTTAAAAATAAATTGT